GACGCTGCTTTCCATGTGGGAGGTTGAGGAGGGGTGGAGGAGAAAGGGCTTTGAACCGGGAGGCTTTGAACTTGAAGAACTAGGACTGAAGATGGATCATTGACAGGAACTTTGATGTCACCCCAGGTAATGGCAGATGAGTAGGGGAGAGGCAGTCCTGAACTGGTTGCCATGGTCCTCTCCATGGCTGGGGAAGTGTTGGGAGGCAAACAGTAGGAACTGTGACAAAGACAGTAAGAGGACTAATAGGAGGATTCGACCTACCCAGTGGGTCAGGGAAAGCTTCCCAGACGAAGTGTCACTTGCGGTGAGACTTGAAGAAGAAGGCGTTCACAAGACAAGAGAGGGAGGAAGGGCATTGCAGGTGGAGCAATGGGCCTGTGGTAGAGGGAGCGTGGCGAGTAAGAGGGACTGGCAGAAGGGCAGTGTGGCTGCGGTGGAGATGGTGAAGAGAGAGGCATAAGATGGTGGAGAAGTAAAGGGCTCAGGCTACTGTAAAGGACAGATGGTTGGGAGAGTGCCCAAGGACCACCAAATGGAGGCTACAGTGGAATCAACTGGAACCTTGGTGAGTCACAGTTGTGCTCTAGCCATGCATCCTTAAGTAGTGCAAGGCCTCTGAGGGGGCAGCACAGGTTTGTGACATGACTGGCTAGGCTTAGGACTCAGCCCGGGTTTGGGATCTGACTCACTCTGGGCCCCTAGAACCGAACCAAGCTAACTAGTTCACACAGGGGTCCAGCCAGGCCCACTGGGTCTCACTAACAAAGTTCCTGGACCATAACCACCAACTTGTTCCATGAGGAAGAGGAGCCCTAGGCCGCTGGGGAGCTGCTGGAAAGGGGTTGCCCTCTGGCTCTCCCAATCACAACAAAGGCAAGTCCAACCCTCGCTCTGAGGGGATAAACTCCCTTCCTGCTGCCTGGCTGGCTGGGGGGTGAGGTTCTGGGTCACATCACAATGAAGACCAGCTTCCATGAAACGGACTCTCACCCTCTTCCCTGTGACCACTCCCTACACATGCGTGCACGCACATACACACACACTTGAACCAGGCAGGTCTGGCTTTTTGTCAAGGCGGGGCAGGTGTGTTGGAAGGGACACCCAACAGAACCACAGCAGCCTTCTGGGGCTAGACAATTGCCCTCTGTCAAGGGCATTCCTTTCAGGTTTGGGATATGAAGGCTAGACCACATATTGTTGGGGTTTAGCATCAATTCACCAAACTTGCGTTGAGCCCACTCTTTGCTGGGCTCTGTTCTGGATGCTTTGGTGCATGCCAAGATTTATAAAAGCAAGCTCCTGCCCTCAGGGACGGGTAAACTAGGAGGGAAGGGTCAACAAAGCAAAGGGTTAATGCAAAGCTTTTAAAATAGAGGCTCAAACAAAACGTTATGGGAGCCGGGGGGTGATTCATCATGGAGGGATGAATTCGAGATGGAGGTCGGGGCTTGGTGGACAAGGTGAGTTTTGAACTATACTCTGATGGGCGTAGAGAATGTCGACAAGAAGAGATGGGTGATGGGACATACCAGGGAGGAAGGCCTTGACCACTGGGCTGAAGAGATTGACTTCTGTCCTGAGGTCAGTGGAAGCCATGGAGGAACTTCAGACGGGAGCGACTGTGAGGCACAATGGAAAGAGCAAGGACTCTGAAGCACCCCCAGACCCAGGTTTGAGTCCCAGCTCTGCCACTAATCAGCTTAGACCTGGGCCAAGCCACTTTTCTTCTCCAAGCCTGTCTCCTCTTCTGCAGGTGAGGACTCCACCTGTCTCCCAGCGTGGTTGACAAACTTGATGGAAGGGTGGGAAGGGGCTTTGGAAGCAGCAGCCACACGTGATGCCCATGTGACCAAGGCTGTGCAGCCTCTCAGCCTCTGAGGTCACCCCAACAGTTAGATTTGACATCCCTTCCCACCTACACAACTGTAGGACCTCAGGCCCCCTTTCAAGTTTTCATCCTCAGGATCTTGGGACATCTCCAGTGGGGTTTCACAGTGCTCGGAGCCCCCTGGGGTCTCTGAATTTCCTGCTGCCACGGGCTGCTCCAGGCCATGGCACTGCCTGCCTGTGCTCTCTCAGGTTGCTGTTTATCTTGTCGCCACCAATCTGCCCCCTGACCACTGACCCTCCCCGAACCCACTTCCTGTGGTGCCATTTCTGCACCTCTCCTGCCCATCTTCTCCCCACAGCTGCTCCCCAAGGCTGCCGGAGCCCTCTGCCGCTCTGGCCTGATGACTCTCGTCTCACCTCTCAGGCCTCCCTTGGGTTCCATTTGTCCAGAGGGTCCCACAGCAGAGTGTCTTGTGACCCTGGTGCTAGAGCTCCTTGCATGCTGGTCACTTTACATGCATTTTCTGTTACACACGTGAGATGGGTTGTAATCGTAATCTGAACTGTGACTCAGGACACCTATTGTCACTGAGTGGGAGAAGATGCAAGTCGAGTAGGTGCATTCTGGTAGAAGTTAGGCAGGCATGGGTGCCCAGAGAGGGCAGACCCAGGCAGGAAGGCAGGGTGACAAGCCTGTGGGGGGATCAGGTGCAAAAAAAGAGGCATGGACTGGAGGGACTCTCAAGAACAACTTCTCTAGTTTCAGAATTTGGCCTTTAGGCTAGCCTTGCACCAAAAAGTGAGACCAGCAGAGATGGGCTGCCTATGCAGGCCACAGCAAGAATCCAGTGACTTATGGATCTTCCAAACACCTTTGATACAAGGACTCTTGGCCATTCACCCTCCCCACCTTGAATCACTTCTTTCCACTTCAGGCCTGTTGCCAACTTGGGTTCAAGTCCCCCAAACTGATGAGTAAAGACATTGGTTTAGAGATAAGGAGATAAGGGAGGAGCTGAGGGTAAGGCATCCTCACCCGAGACCTTCCCCGGGCAGAGTCCAGAGGAAGGGGGAGGGATGCCTGCTTGGTTCATTTGCTCCTAAGCTTGGCGCTTCAGCCCGGCTGACCTTTCCTGTAACATTAACTGCCATTTCAGCAGTGTTGGATGCCAGGGGCAGAAAGAACAAGGTACAGATGAGACTGGTTTTAGTTCTAGTTATGTATTTGACTTAATGAACACTTATACAGCATTTACTCCTTACGGCAACCATGTTCTGAGAGCTTCACAAACATTAACCCATTTAATCTGCATCACACCTCTAAGAAGTTAGTACTATTATTATCCCATTTCACAGGGGAGGAAACTGTGGGCTCAGAGAATTGAAGTCACTTGCCCAAGACCATTAAGCAAGTGGGTAACAGAGCCGGGATTGAAACTCTGGCAGTGCTACTGCCCAAAGGTGGGGTCATCTGCCCACTGCAAGACATGCCAGTAGTCGAGAGGCAAGGAGGTAGGAGAGAAAGGGCAGTTTATTACAGCTTGCTAGCAAGGGGGAAGATGGCCGACTAATGTCCAAAAGAACCATCTTACAGAACAAAGACTACAGGCCACTTATATAGGGGGCTGGCCCTCCGGTGGGGGAGGCAGTTTGTCTCCAGGTTGGGGGCATCCATCTAATCTCTGGGTGGGAGAAGACGTATGTTCTGAGTTCCTGATAGTCTTGTTTTACTGGATATGTATCAGAGACCAGAGCAACGTCCTATACCCTGATCTTTCGGTTGTCATTAATGATGGCTATCAGCATAGACTTTCTGCCCGTGTCTGGGTTAGTTAATCAGAAGTGATTCAAAGTTACAACAGGGTTTCTTTTCTACAATATGGCTTCCCTTATGTCAACCTTGTGTTGAGCCGTTATCAGCAGTCTGGCTCCTAGGCTCAGTGGAGAAGACAGGCCTGTTTGTCCTAGAAGGCTGTCTTCAGGGTCCCTCCTTTGCATGACCCCACCAAATCTTCCTGCTTGCCCTTCAGGATGGCTAATACAGTGCATAGGGGAGGGAAGGGCCTTTGAGGGGGCATTTCCCCAGTCCTCTGGTCTCTAGGAATAACTTCATTCCCACTTCTGGAATGGGAAGGGGGCAAGGAAAAGACAGCGGGAGCGTCAGCAGTCCCAGAGCCACACAGGGTTCTCACAGTCCTTGTTCTTGGTCTGTCCTGAGGCTGTGGGCTCTGCCCTCCGCTTTTATTCCTGGAGGTGGACCTCAGTGAACTTCCTTACTCATTTAGACTCCCCTCCTTCAGGGAGTCCCATGAAGGCCTCCTTTTCCTCTTCAGAACGGTCTATTTTATTGTATTTGGATGAATTATTTGAAAGCTACCTTGAACTTGTTGTGGACATAAGCAGAATGTAAATACATTAAAAATAAGACCAAAAGGAATGGGGGGTTTGCCTCGGGGGCCCTGCAGGCTAGGTGAGCAGCTGTCCATTTGGTCTGTTTGTCTCTCAGAAGCATTCCTCTCTGGGGTATAGGGTTGAGGGTTCTAGAGGGCATTTACTAGGAGCCGCTTTGGCGCTGGTGCAGCGAGCTGCCCTCTGATGTGGGTGGTGTAGAGACAAGGTTGGCCTCAGCTTCTCCACTTCCCCATAGGGAGTTATGCTGGTTAGGAGTGACCCGCACTTCAGGGAAACCAAAGCCCTGTTCTAGAAGCTATGGCAAATAGGGCATGTCCAGTTAACCAAATTTGTCTTCTGGGTGCCCCCAAACTTCCTTTTCTGGGTCTTCTTCCCTCTTCAGTGGCATCCCCTCATTCCTCCACATAGGCCTTTGGGCGTTCGTTCTCTTGCAGGTGTGAATGGCACTAACAGCTTGGATCTCCCAGAGTGGAGAATGTGCAGCTGAATGGGACTCCACCATCCCTGCCACCCCAAGAGAAGGGCCATCTTCCCCTCCGCCTGTGGCTGGCTGCACTTTTACAGAGTCGGCTCTCCTGAGGGGACTCACTCTAGCTCAAGAAAGTCACTCTTCAGCTATAAGCAACTTCCCTGAGGGGTGCAGTGGGCCTTCCCAGGCACTAGGGAGAGAGGATGCTGGTGTCTTCTGTCTTCTGAGACTGGCCAGCTCAGAGGAAGAAGGATAAACATTCATCTGGAAGCAAAGGTGGGGCTGTAGCCAGAGCCTGGCGTGGGAGAGCTAATGGGAAACAGCTTGTTGGAGGGAGGTGGACAGAATTCGGGAATGGCTAGGGCTGGGCTGCTGAAAAGGGGGATGGGAGAGGCAGGCTGATTGAGACCAGCTGCTGCTCTTCTGTCTTGGAGATCTTTGGACTCTGCCCGGGGCGGGCTTACACCCTATTCTGGGTGACTGGGAGCCAGCAGAGGCTGCCTGGGGCATCTCAGGCTTCTCCACCACCCTGACTCGCGGAGCCCTCAGAAACAAAAGACCAGAGGGGACTCTCCACCCACCAGCCAGACGCCTCCTCCCCATCGCCAGCCCCCACCCCCTGGCTGCTCCTGCCCCGGAAAGGCCTGGAAGAAGAGGCCAGGGAAACAGCCCTGCCTACTCTCCCCCATCCCTCCATCCACCCAAGCACCGGCATCTGGAGATCCCATGGCCTGGGCTCGCTGGGGCTGCTGCCCCTGGCTTGTCCTCCTCTGTGGTATGTGCATCCCGGTCTCTCCCCCCGAAATAGGGAGGGCATGTCCAGCTGGAGAGCAGCTCTGGCCTGTCCCCTCTGGGCTCAGAAAGGGAGTAAGGGCTGGGGCCCAGATTGTCTCTTTTTTTCTTGGGTCCCCTGTCTGTCTTGAGGAAGAGGAACCCCAGGGCCAGTCCTTGGGGCCCTCAAGACTCAGGTCAAGTCTGGTTTGGCACATTTCCATTCCACCTGCTAAAGAAAAAATGATTCTGGCACTTGTTAAAAGAGTAAGGAAGATTTTATTCAAGACTATTGCCATAGGGGCACTACAATAGGGGAGAACGATTGGGCTCAAATCTGAATACAGCAAAGAGGGCTGAGGACTTATGGCTCATGAGAAGAGTGAGGGGGTCAGTGGATGGAAAATTACTAACAGGAGACATCTAGGGCAGGGAGAGTCTTACTAAACCAACCTTAATAGGCAGGCCAGGGTGATCAGATATCAAGGGCAGGAGATGAGGAATTTGATCAGAAATCGAGGGTGATCAGACATTAACGGTGGGGGAGTCTCTCTAAACTGACTTAGCGGGATTCTTGCTATCACTGGGTGATGCTGGTCCAGCAAAGACAGTATGGACATGGAATGCCAAAGTCAAGGCCTAGTTGAGAAGAGCATTCAGAGGAGCCTAACTAAGTTTAGTCTTTGTCACCCCTACAGTGCCTTGTTTGTCCTCTTTGGTCACAACTAAGTGCTTAGCTCAGCACCCTTCATACCCACTCCACCTCCAGCCCTAGTGAGGCCTCCCTTCACTTTGCTCTCTGTCAGCAGGGCCCTGCTCATTCACTAAGCACCCAGTTTCTGTGCACCTCCCCAGTGCCAGGCCCTGTCCCAGAGACCACAGAGTCATTCGGCTGCAGAGCCTCCCCTTGGGAGCCACAGCCCTGGCCTCACAGAACAGCAGATCTGAGGGTCCAGCGAGACAGAGGTTGGCTGTGTTCTGCTTCTTGTGTTGGCGTCTCAGCGCCACCATTTTGCCAGAGATCCGTTCCTACAGAACTGGGGGCTTATTTTCTTACATCAACAGTAAGGATCTCATCTCCTCCTGAGACCAAGACAGCCAGGCAGGGCATTCATAGCGTTAGACCCCAGCCACTCTCCTTCCACCTGTAGCTCAACTCACTCAGAAGGTAAAAGTATAGTGTCTCCCCAAACTCAGACCCCCATTACCCTCTAGGGAGATTCCCCTTAAAAGAGGGGGGGAGACTACAGGGAAGAACTATCAGAGACCACTGGACTTTCACAGTGGGAAGGCCCAGATCCTGTAGGACTTAGCCCAGTGCCTGGCACACAGTAAGCACTTAGAAAATGTTTTCTCAGTGTTACAGCTCTTCTAGAATTTGTCTAGCAGGTTTTCTGGTTCTTATCAGAAGATCCCCACAAAAACAAAACAAAAGAAAATGTTTGCTCAATGAATACTGGATAACTCTCCTTAGGTCACACCAAATTTGGGACAGAGCCCAAATTGGAAAGCAAGTCTCCATACACTCTGTTGCTTCTGTGGCACTACCCTTCCATGGTCGGCTTTTTATACGCAGAAGCCTGGGTTCAAATCCCTGCTCTACCACTGACTCACTGTGGCAAAACTTGGGCATGTTACCAAATCTATCTGGGCCTCAGCTTTCTCCTCTCTAGAAAGTAGACAATAATACCCACCTCACAGCATTGTCGCAAGTATCGAATGAGATACTACAGAGAAATCGCTGAGTTCAGTGTCTGGCACATAGTAGGAGCTCTTTAAATGCTACCCCACCTTTCCCCATCAGGAGACGATGTCGGACTGGGATCGACTGTCTTACTTACGTATTTAAAATGAGCCTGGAATGATAGGCAGAGATTTGGATAGTAAGAAGTGGTACAAGTGGGCCTTGAATTTAAGTAAACCCAATATATATAAAATTAGATTTAAACAAGGGTAAAACTAAGGTGGGGATGATTATTTAGCAAGATCTTCTAGAGCATTTCAAAGAAAATTTGATTACAAAAATTTAATTTACACACAACTTTTCCAGTTCCACAGACCCTGAAAAGACCCAATTAGATTAGAAAGGCAAAATTGATTTAATGAGCACTAAAACCCATTCAAAAGTGGCAATCGCTTGTCGATGAAACAGGTTTCTTTGATTGTGACCCAGGGTGCCATCCAATTCAGCCTGATTTCCCATGAAATGTGATTATTTTCCTACTCAAGTAGAGTTGGACAGCATCTTGGGATTCAAAGGATGGAGTCTCTGCGGGGACGGGGAGGGGGGTTGGAGGAACATGTCCCTGCGCTCTCTAGGAGCTATCTGGTCTCCAAGTGACCCTGGATTTTTCTCCCGGTTTCTAGCTTGTGCCTGGGGCCACCCAAAGTCAGTGGACTTGCAAGGAGAGGATGTGAGAAACTGTTCAACCAGCCCTCCGGTGAGGCCCTGGCTCTGCCCCACCCGGCCCCGACCCCACCTCAAAGCTCCCATCGTCCTCCCCATCCCCCATTGGCTTAGCGGCTAGCCTCTCCCTCCACCTGCGTTTCTCCTGATTTCCGGACTCTGGGGCCCCTGTTTCTGATTAACATCCCTCGGGGCGGGCAGCGCATTCTCAGGTGTCTGACATCCTCCCTCCTCCCCCCCTATGCTTCCCTCCCTCCCTTTCCCACTGCAGGTTATCTACTTCCGTTCGGGGCTGGTCCGGGGCAGCCCCGCTAAAGGGAGGGAGGAGGGGCGGGAAAGAGGGCGGGAGGCCCCTAGCTAGCCTTTGGCTGAGGCTAGGCTGAGGCCAGGAGGAGGATGGGAGGAAAGAAAACAATTCTCTCGAGGAACAGGTTAAGAGAGGAGGGAGGAAGACAGAGGGCTAGAAAAGCCAACGACAGGGCAAGAGAGGGAGGCCTAGGGTGTGAAGACTGGGAGAAGGCCCGGCTTATTGGAGCTGAAAGGTCCTCAGCTTTCTGGCTGGAGGCCAGAGTGATTCTTTCCACAACCAGAGTAGGGCAGAGCTTCTCCGGGCAGGGGCAGGCCAGAAGGTGAGAGCTGGTGGGCTTGCCAGCGATTCATTCTGCCTCCGGACCAAAGGGGTACATCTGCTTGCAGTGTCAACTTTATGAGACCACTGGGGCAGGCAGGTGGGTGGGCAAACCACCTTACATTTATATTAAAATAAACACGGATATATGGTTGAGTAGAAGGCAAAACAAACAAACAAAACAACCGCACACTTTTTATTTTAAAGATAAAACAGCCTTTAAAGAAATATCTGGCTTGGATAAGAACTTTCTGGACAACGTCCCAAAGTGCTAGGGGTACTCATTCACTCTCCTCTGCATTTGAGAACAGTGAGTGGAAACTTGAAAAAGTCCGCAAGGTAGGGTTGCCAGATCAAATATAGGATGCCCAGTTACTTCTGAATTTCAGAAAATGAATAATATTTTCATATAAGTATGCCCTAAATAGTACATGGGACATACTTATACGAAAACATTATTGCTGTTTATCTGAAATTCCAACGTGACTGCGTGGGTGTCCTGTATTTTTATTTGCTAAATTGGCACCTCTACCCCAGGGTATCCAAAGAGGACCATCCCCTTGGCCGGGCCCAGTGCCACGGCTCAGACCCCTGTAGTTCTCACCCCCGCCATCCCAGACTCAGGTCCCGTTACTGTCACAAAGGGTCCCTCTCCAAGCTCTTCAACACCCCCATCTCCACTCAGCCCAGGCACCTTAATCTAGACTAACCCGTAACAAGAGCTGCCACCCTATCCCTCTGCAGGCTGGCCCAGCCTACCCAGCGCAACCCCTGCCTATGCAGAGGCTGGTGGCTCCTCTGGATGCTGGGGGCCCAGGCATCATTCTCTCTAAGCAGTGTGTCTCTGTGTGTGTGTGTGTGTGTGTGTGTGTGTCGTGGTGTCTTCCTGTCACCTGTCAGTACCTCCCAGTTACTGCAGTCAATACCACAGCGCAGCTCGTGGCCCTCCGCCAGCAGATGCACACCCTGAATCTCTCTGCGTACATTGTCCCCGACACGGATGCCCACATGGTGAGGAACGGCTCTTCTTCGCCCAACCCTGCCCTCTCTGCTACCCGGGATTGGCCTGTGCAAAGGGAAGGAAGTGGAGAGCTTGGACACGGGAGTTTTAGAGCAACTGAAAGAATATACACCTTTATATAGGAGAGGAGACATTGCCAAATCTCTTTGACCTCAGGCAATAGAGCTAGAAACAACTTCAGAACTGATTATGATCGATTCCTAGATGGCAGATCCAGAATGAATGTTTAGGGCCCCCTTTCCCTAGGAGGTTACAATGTGGGCTGGGAAATGGACTGGAAGAACTCTAAGCTCCCTTCCAGCCCAGCCCTTCCCACAACCTGATGGACAGAGCATTGAAATGGTCCAGAGTCTCAAGTTTGGACTACACCAGTTTGGGGTGTAGGGTGGGGGCGGGGGAGCAGATAGGAAACCAGATGGTCTGAACAAGAACTGCTTTTCCCAAAGCAGCGCCCCTGCCCACCCGTCCTACCCTTTCCCACCACTGGTTCCACCGCCACTCCCTCCACCTTCCCAGCACCAGGTCTCAAGAAGATTACTTGAATTAATTTTCCCACCTGGTGGGAAGGGCTAAGAACCTTGGGTAAGTGTCTGAACTCCTCTGAGCCTCAGTTTCCTCTTCTGCAAAATGGGAATAATGAGCTCTGTCTCCAGGATTATGAGGATCAAAATACAGTAATGTGTAAAGCTCTCTGCAGAAGTTATTTATGATGTACCCAGTGTCCTATGCTAGACTGGGGAGGAAGGGGGACAGCAGATGGGGAGACCCCGGAAGAACCAAAAGTCATGATCCCAGATTGCACAGAATTTGCATTCTGGCCAAGGAGACAAGACTCCTGTGCAGAACAGTCCAGTGCTGGACTGTGGGGTTGACTCCAAGAAATATAGTTGTTCAAAGGAAGGAAAGGTCCTGAGGGCTGGGGGAGTTCCAGAGGGCTTCCTGTAAGAGGTGCCCAGCATGCTTGGGCTTGTAAGACTCGTTGGATCTGATCAGACAGAAAGAGCTAGGATGTGGTTGGGGGCCTTCCATGTGGAGTCTGACTCCACAAAGAAGGCTAACAATGCTGTTGTTGATTTCCTAGAGCGAGTACATTGGTGAACACGATGAGAGGCGTGCGTGGATTACAGGCTTTACGGGGTCCGCAGGTGACGGCCATTACCCAGCCCCCGTTGCTTCTGTTGGTAAACCCAGAGGTGGTCACAGAGGCCCTGGTGTGGCTAGTTCTCAACAGCCAGGACCCCAGGACCTAGTGTTCAGAGGCCCCTGCTACTCTCTCTCTCTCTGCCTTCCTTCCACCAGTCCAAAAAGGGTCACCAGAGCACACATCTCATAGCCCCCAGCCACATTTCTGCATGAAGCAGATGGCCCTCCTGGCTTCCTTCCCATGCGCACTGCCTCTGCCGCAGCCAGGCCCAACCTAGAACTTTAGGCAAGGCTCTCTGGGCTCCATTTCTGGGACAGTTTCTACTTCTATGTCTAGCCAATAGGAGCCTGCTGATTCCCTTCACACAATGGCTCATCTGGGGACAAAGTTTTACTTTGCCAGTCCTTTTATAGACAACATCACCTCACGTGGCCAAATGAAACACAAACATAGAGGCTTTTATGCGGTCCCCGTCTCTGAAGGGGCCTCCCACACTGATCCTGGCCCCTTGAATGAATCCATGCTTTCCTTGCTGATCCTTAAACATTCCTCCCCTGGGCTTCAAGCTGCCTTGCCCATCAGGGACCCTTCTTCTCTTTGCCAGTGTCACTGGGTTTGTCTTCTCTGCCTGTCCTCAGATAAGCCCTGTGAGCCACCAAGTCTTGATACTGCCTACCACACCATCTCTCCTGAGGGCTCCTACGTGAAGCATTGACTCTTTTTTACTGCCAAAGCAGACCCCACTTGTCCTGCTAAAAGTCCTAAAGGCCGCCTTAGGAGAGGCCCTTAATACAAAGCAGAGATGCCTGACCCAGCACCCCCTTTCTGCTGCCTTCCCCTAACACTCTCTTTAATATCTCCTGCCTCACTTCCCTCTAATGGAAGAGAGAAACTCTTTCCAAAGGCCCCTCATAATATTCTCAGAGCTAGCACCGTATCGCACATGCACTAACTAAAGCCATGCTCCTCACCTTCCCCTTCACCTCCAAGTGTGTCTGCTCTGCCCCAGGAATCGCAGTGGTGACCACGGGGAAAGCAGCTCTCTGGACTGACAGTCGCTACTGGACCCAGGCCGAGCGGCAGATGGACTGCAACTGGGAGCTCCACAGGGAAGGTAAAAGGGACACACAGATTTGTCCCCTAAGCCCTGGAACCTGAACTAGGTTTGGGAAGGTACAAGTGAGGAGGTGCATGCAAGGCCATGCTGAGCCCCTGTGGGAAGCATGGAAAATTTGAAGCCATCCCTAAACTTTGAGGCTGCTATCAAGGAGGATGCACATGGCAGGACTGTCACAGACAGAGGCCTGGCTGGAGGGCCTGGGACTGACCCTGGAGATGACCTCTACATTCCTTCTTGTCTTTCTTTCAGTTGGCACCACTCTCATTGTCACCTGGCTTCTCGATGAGGTTCCTGCTGGAGGGCTTGTGGGCTTCGACCCCTTCCTCTTCTCCATTGGTAAGTTCTTCCCACAGTCCTGCATTTGTCCACACCAACAAGGGTGACTCAGCTGCCCTGGGACGTAAAGAAGCATACCTTAGTAGAAGGAGGGGCAGGGTGACTCTAAAGATAGAGTGTTTGAACTTGCGGTTGCAAAATATTTTGCAACAAGGATGTATTCATGGATTGTCTAATGAAAATATATTTAAAAGAATGAATACGTTTTTTTTTCTTTAAGTCATGAATGCAGAGACCCAACCTAGAAGACTCAGGGAATCATTAACACCTAGCAGATGAATAGGCTAGTATGTCCTTGAACCCAGAGCCATCCTCCATGCCCTATTAGTGTGCAATTAGGGCACTAGAATCACTTGGTTGCCCTCTTCTAGAAGGCAGCTTGGAAGAGTCAAAGGAATTGAGGGGGCTTCTGAGTAAAGCAGCACAGTCCCCTCCCCAAAGCTGGCCAGCCTGTGCTCAAGGATGGAGTCCTCATGAGTATGCACTGGAAGGCTCCCGCTTCAGAACTGGCTTTCCAATGGCCTGAACATCACCATTCCTTTGGGCTGTGACGTTGAAGCTCAGTTAAAATGGGCAGTACCAAAAAGAGGGCCGCCCAGCCATTGGCACTTGAAAAGACTAGCTTAGTTAGCCAATTGACTGTGGCCGGCAATGGGGTGGGCTCAGGGCGATTAGGCTTTGAAAGCGGAAAGAGGAAGGTAAGGTAAGAGGACATCCCCTGGAGGGCCAGGCCGCATGGACAGGCTCTGGACAGCTGGGGCTACAGGTGCAGAACAGGAGGCAGGGCGCATAAGGACTAACTTGGCCTGGGTCACAACTTTTCCTGAGGTGTAAATGGGCAGGGGACAAGTGACTCCTTCCTTTCTCTGCAGACTCCTGGGAGAGTTATGACACGGCCCTCCAAGGCTCTGACAGACAGCTGGTGTCCATCGAAGCCAACCTCGTGGACCTGGTGTGGGGGTCAGAGAGGCCTCCGGTTCCAAACGAGCCCATTTATGCCCTGCAGGAGGCGTTCATAGGTATTTCCTAAGCCGCTTCTCTTTCCCAACTTGTAGCAACACAGGTCACCGCTGCTGCTCCTTTGGCTGAAAAATTCATCCTAAGAGGTACCAAAGCAATGGTTCTCAAACCTTCATGTGCACTGGAATAGTTTAGGATGCTTGTTTAAAATGCAGATTTCTAGGCCCCCTCCCCTCAGAGGGTGAATCAAAAGGTCCTCAGACCATACTTAGAAAATGCTAGAATAAAGAGTGTTAGGATTTAAAGTGAGAGGGAGCAGTAAGGGAGGAAATAAGGGAGTCAAAGAAAGATGAAAAAAAAAAAAAACCCTTTGAAGACAGAAAAAAACATAACATGAGTTGCTTATCTGGTAGTGGAGACCGGTTTGTATTGAATCATTCAAACCTTTACTTCTGGGCCTTCTATGAGAGGAATTTAGATTTGAGATAGATGGGGTTGGGTGGGCTGGGATGGACAAAGGAAGCAAATTAGGGTTCAAGTTTTGGCCAGACCACAAAGGAAAGTTAACTGTACCCCCCCAAGTTCTAACATCAATAATCTTGACCCTGTTGACACCATCTAAATACGTCATAAAAGTACAGTATGTTCTACGATTCTTGTAAGTAGTAACTAAAATCCTGACCAGGACCAGGCTACTAATTATGAATCAGTGTCTTGGCCACCACCACCCCCTACCTCCCTGGGAATTCTGAATGAGCCAGTGGACTTGGATTCCTAGGAATATTGGGCAATCTGAAAGGCCCCTTCCCATACACAGTTCCATGCAAATTTCTTGTTTGGAAAGGGGTCGAAAAAGCAGGAGGGAAATTTCAAAATAGCAAGTCTGATGAAACCAGTTAAAACTGTGTCCAATTTTCTTTATCTGTTCTGATGTAACTTGCAGAAGCATTCTTTCTGCATCTCGATACAGTTTTTAAAGAAACTTGCTATCTAAGCCTGTTCAATCATAAATAAAACTCACCCCATTCAGATAAAAAAGGGTGCAGTTATGTCGGGAAGAGGATGAGATAAAGGGGAAAATCTTTCAGGGACTGGGAGAGAATTTGCATGGGTTTTGTCTCTTCCCACAAGTGAGGGGATGCTGAGCTGCTAGTCTTCAAGGAAAAGCTATCCAGAGCCAGAACTGGGCCTGGAAGCCCAGGAACAGAGTTCCTGCGTCTCTAAGCTTATAAAGATGAGAGAGACTTTATCTCCAGCAACTCATAGGTTTTAAAGGGGGCAAAGGGCAAAAGGAATAACATTAAAAGTGAATAACTCAAAGATACCTGTAATGCATCAGACAATTTAAATTGGCTTTCATCTGTTTTCTCAAAAATGTGTCACATCCATGAACCTTGAAAACATAATTCTAAGTGAAAGAAGCCAACCAGAGAAGGCCCCGTATTGTATGATTCCATTTGTTTGAAATATCCAACGTAGGCAAATCCATAGAGACAGAAAGTAGATTAGTGTTTTCCAGGGGCAGGGGAGAGGCAGGAATGGGGAGTGACTGCCTTTTGGGGTGATGAAAATGTTCTGGAATTAGATAGTGGTAGTGGTTGTGAAATCTTGTGAATATTTTTAAAGCCACTGAACTGTACACTTTGGTTAAAATGATAAACTTTATGGTTTGTGTGTTTTACTACAGTAAAATAAAATAAACCTAAAAAATGTATCACACCTGTTTGCATAAAGTTTTTTTTAATGGCATTAAGTTATTTATGCTAATCTCTGGGCCCAGCTGGGACCCTTAATTCTTATGACCTTCTGCCAGCAAATTCTTAGCCCTGCCTAGGGGCAGGCTCTTTATATGCATCACAGGGAGCAGGAATAAAAGATGAAAACTAAAGGCCTAGAACCAGGATACATGCATCCTAGAAAGGACAGCTCTGTGACACAGAGTTTAAGGACAAGTTTGGAGACAGAATGTTAGCAAGAAAGTCCAGTGTCTGTACAGACTAAGAGTGTGAGCCACGTAGTCAAACAGACCTGGTTCAAACCTCAGCTCCACCCCTTGCCAGCTCTGAAACCATAGATAAGTCATTTCACTTCACTCTCTGAAGCCTCAATTTCCTTATCTGTAAAATGGGCCAAGTAAGGATGAAAACAATGTACACAAAGTGCTTAGCCCAGACCCGTGGCTTAGTAAACACTGGGTTACTGCAGGTGGGAGGCTTGAACATGGCCCAGCCCCATCTCCTTGCCCTTCGACTAGGGCTGCTCTCCTGATCTCTGTTCTGCATGCTTATTTATTGAGCAGAAAGTTAGGCCAGACTTAGCATATGCCAAGCTACCATTCTACATGCATTACAAATATTAATTCATTTGATCCCCATAACAACTCTATTGAGGTAGATACTATTATTATAATCCACCCCCATTCTACAGATGTGCAAAATAAGACACAGAAGGGTTACGTAATTTTTCCAAGGTCACCCAGCTAGTAATGGCAGGGCCGGGACTTGGACGCAGACAGTCGGTATCCAGAGCCCATGTCCTGAATGGCCACATGAGTAAGAGTTTAGTTGAAGAAAGGGTTCTACTGCTTTTAAGGAAATGGAAAGGGAGCCCTCTCAGGAACAAAGTGGCAAAGGGAAGGGATGTTGCTTACACTTTGTCTGGGCTCCTTCACTCCTAGGGAGCACCTGGCAGGAGAAAGTAGCTGACATCCGCAGCCAAATGCAGGAGCATCGCGAGGCCCCAACTGCCGTCCTCCTGTCAGCGCTTGATGAGACGGCCTGTGAGTATGGATTTGTGGACACAGGTGGGCGCCTGGGGAACCCCCAACCCCCAAGTCTCCTGGGCCCTGCAGTGCAGGACTCCTCCCCTGACCACCATGTGCCCCCTGGTTCTGAGAGCTCTGTGGCCGTGACCTGTGAGAACTAAGATGGGGTGCCAGGAGAAGTGTCTGCAGAATAAAGAAACCAGGAAGCCCAGAGCAAGCTGGGGCCAGCCCACAGGCCACTGGAGGAATGGACCCACCACAGCGGCAAAGGCTTCTGTCTCATGGTGGGGGAGAGGCCCAGCAGACATCTCCCAACAGCCTGGCCACGACCCCCAGGCACTCACACTCCTGGCTTTAGCACCCAGTGCAGCTTTGTTCTGTCCCAACATGGCCCAGGGCTTTACCTGACCCCAGCACTGGGCTTCAGGTATGCTGGGAACCTGCTGACACTGTACTGACTGCTGGCTGGGTATCTGCAGTCTTCTGGGAGAAAGGGTCCATAGCTCTCATCAGCGCTTCAAAGACCCCCCAGGAGACTGAGAAACAGTCAGAGGCAGATGTGCAGGCGTGCTGCTGGGAATCTTTGGGGACCTGAGCAAACGGTGGGGCAGAGGTGTCACATGTGCTTGCCTCCGGCAGATCGGCCTCAGCTAGTCCCCATCGGTTATCTTCCCCAGGGCTCTTCAACCTGCGCAGCAGTGACATCCCTTATAACCCCTTCTTCTATTCCTACACGTTGTTCACGGACTCCTCCATCAGGTACGGCTTTTCCTTGGCTTACTGTAATGGACTTCCTCCAACTTCCACCCCCCACTGCCCCACCACTTGCCCTGCGCCAATATGCAGCCTTCCCATGAGCTTGGTGCCCGCCCCAGCAGGACCCCTTGGGAACCTCCGATGGCTTATCCCGACCCCTTGACCTCTGTTCCCTCGTACTCTAAATCTGGTCTCCTTAGCTCCTTGGCGCGGGCTTCCTCTAACCTCCTGGAACAAACGGCCTCTGGTCCTTTGCATTGACCTTAGAAGCCCTCAGGACCCTCCCCGTCTTCCCTCCCCACCAAGGTTATTTGTAAACAAGAGTCGCTTTAGCTCCGAGACCCTGCAGTACCTGAACTCTAGCTGCACGGGCTCTATGTGTGTGCAACTCGAAGACTACAGCCAAGTCCAGGACAGCGTCAAGGCCTATGCCTCAGGAGACGTGAGGATCTGGATCGGGACCAGCTATACTACATATGGGATCTATGAATTGATACCCAAGGTGGGTTTGCCAGGTGCCAGCTTGTGCCAGGCACCGCCCCCCTCCTCCAGCTCTCATAAATCTCAACCTCAATTGGGGCCACAGCCTCTCGGCCATTCAGGCAGTTGGGCAGTCAACAATGGTGCAGGGAGTCCCCTTCCAGGCCTCCCTGGAAGACACGGAAGAAGAAGAAGCAGGATATCCATCAGCAGAGAGCTCAGAGATTGTTGAGGAGGCCAGAGAGAGTATGGCCTGGTGGAGCAGAGGCTGAGTCCTGGCTCTGCCCTGAACTGGCTGTGCAACGACCTTGGACAAATGACTTAGCCAGTCTGGGCCTCTGTTTCCTAACCTGTAAAATGGCAATGCGAGTCCCGGCCTCAGAGGAGCTGCTCTGAGGAGCTTTAGAGGAGAGAGTGCATGTAAAGCCCAGTGCCTGGCACACAGCAGGTGCTCAATAAATGGTAGCTGTAATGATATGTGCAGGAAACTCATGCTGACAGAACAGCCCATCAACTGGGGGACCAGGTTCTGGTCCATCCCAGAGCGCTGGTGGGATTCAGGGGCAGGAAGGGGGGTGGGGGAGGAGGGCTGGAGGGAAGGATAAGCTGGGCACAGAAGACTGGGAAAGACCTGCAGAGACGGAAAGCACAGGAAGGAAAAGTCATCGCCACTATAGGGAGCGGCAAGTCTCCCCTCAGCCGGGCTTTCCTGCCAATCCTTTTCAAACACCGGTGTGCCCAGGCGGGGCCCCCAGACCTCTTCCTCTCTGCCCGTGACAGGAGAAACTCATAGAAGACACCTACTCCCCAGTGATGGTGACCAAGGCGGTGAAAAACAGCAAGGAGCAGGCCCTCCTCAAGGCCAGCCACGTAAGTCCCCAGCAGGCAAACTAGCCTTCTGGGAGCTCCTCGTCTGAGGGGTGAGAAAGGAGGCCCTGCCAGAGGAGCCTGAAGAGCCCCTCAATGAAACAGAGAAGTGGACACCAAATTGTTGGGCACCCGCCCGTGCTTCACCCCATTAGTCCCAGCATAGAACAGTGGTTTAGAGCAGGGCCCCGGAGCTAGAGTGTCTGAGTTCAAATCCCAGCTCCTCCGGCCACCTCCTAGCTGGGTGACCTTGGGCAAGTCACTTCACCTCTCTGGGCCTCAGTTACCTCATCTGCAAAATGAGGATCATAACAGTAATCTACAGCATAGGAGTGTTGTGAGGATTAAATAAACAAACATATATATTAAATAATATATGATAAATATTAATATATAATTAATATAATTACAGAAATTATAGAAGTATATAATTATATACATATAAATATAATTATATACATATAAATATAATTATATAATTACATTAAATAATTATATTCTATAGATACATTTTTTGCTTTGAGCACCGCCTGGCACATTCCAAGTGTGAAATAAGTGTTAGCTGTAACTGGCAAGAGGATGGCTCACTCTTGGATATTCCTGTTAAAATCAGGATAAACTGCCTCGTTTTTAAAAGCTTTTTCTTACGGACAATTTTAGACATACACAAAAGTAGAGAAAATGGCATAATGACCCCCATGCACCCTCACCCAGCTTCGGCAGTCATCAACTCAGGGCCAATCCCGTTTCATCTACAACCCCACATTCATTATCTCCACTCCTCACCCTCTGCTGCTGGATGATTTTAAAGCAGATCCCAGATATCATATCGTTTCTTCTGTCAACACTTCAGTAAGTATCTCTAAAAGATAAGAACTCTTTTCAAAACATGACCACACTATGATCATATATATAAACATTAACAAGAATCCCTTAATACCATCAAATAACCAGTGACAACCCCGGCATTTTTCAATCTCAGCTCCCAGAGCAGCCATCTGCTCTCCTTCATCCCGGAGCCCTGGCTGACCCCGTTCCTCGGCCCGCCCCTCTGCTTGCCCTGCTCCAGGTGCGGGACGCCGTGGCCGTGATCCGCTACTTGGTCTGGCTGGAGAAGAACGTGCCCAAAGGCACGGTGGACGAGTTCTCGGGGGCAGAACAGCTGAACAAGCTCCGAGGGTGAAGGACCACGGCCGTCCTTTTTGGCTGACTATCTTTTAGCGTGGGGGTGGGGGCAGGGAGGGGGAATTGGTCTCCTTACTTAGGGAGAAAGGAAGACCCTCCTTGTATTTAGGGGCTTCTCTGGAACAAGGAGTGACGGGTTCTTGGGGGGTCGGGGAGCTGGGCAGGGGGTATTGGATGACATTCCCCAGACCCGCGACAACTTGAAGGGCCACAACACAACAGCGCCCCCTAGTGTCTGCTTCAGGCACCGGCCCCCCTCTCCGTGGAGGAGGCTAGCTGAGGTCAAGCGAGCCCCTGGACCACTTGAGGATATCAAGTTGGGGAGGGAGGGTCCCTGAGGACACGCTTGGCCCAGGCCATAGGCTGACTCTAGGTCTGAGGTGCAGGCTGCTGCTCCAGGGCTGAGGCGTTTTCAGATACAGGGAGCTAGGTTTCTTTACTCCTGCTTTACCATGAACTCACTGTGGGATGTTTAGGCCTTGGTTTCCCCGTCTGTAAAATGGACATGCAAGGGGAATAGTTGATGTCTACAGTCCCTCCTTCTCTGACCTTGAGTTCTGTATAAGTGAGTCAGGGCTTGGGAAGATGGAACCAAGAGGTGGGTCTGGGACAGCCCAATGGAGTCTGGCTGAGGTAGAGACAGCCGTGACCTTCATTTGCCCTTGTTAGCTATCCTGGGCCCAGCCTAGGCCCTGAGCCCATTCATTGACCATTCCTGCCTTGTACTTTCCAGAGAAGAAGAGTTCTTCTCCGGACCCAGTTTCGAAACCATCTCTGCTAGTGGCCTGAATGCTGCCCTGGCCCACTACAGGTACTTCAGGAGAAAGAATTTTCTAGGGCTCTGTGGGGGGATCCTGGTGTATGTACAGGGGGAGGTGGGGTGGAGAAGGGAATGCTCTGGGATCTGAGTTCACATTTTAGCTTTGAAGCCTTTGGCACTGTGGGGGTGTGGGGGGGGACTGGAGCCCAGTCAGGGGTTGGGAGTGTCCTTGGAATTAAATGGCCTGGGCAGTTTTCCCCTCAGGAGGCTGGGACTTTGTGAGCGCTCAGAGCAGAGAGATCTGGAAGGGAGGCAGGGCTGCTGCTGGATGCTTTTTCTTGGCTTCCTGTGTTATTTATGTTAGCTAATTCTTAAAGCTCACAAGCACATGGGAAGAAAGGCCCGTTCACTCAGCCGGAACCAACCCAAGTGAGCCCACAATGTAGGCTGACCAGATGTGTAGCTCATAGAAAACAAACACCTGCAGGCCTGCCTGACGAAATCTGGGGTGCCAAGCTGACCAGATGCCTCAGCCTGGCATGGGTACAGCAGGGCATCAGACACCCTCCAAGGGCCAGCCTGGACTATCCCAGAATTCCCTCCCCTGGCGTCCCTTCAGCTGCCGTGGCCTGGCCCCCTCTCCCCACTAGAGAGTGGCGGGGTAGGAGCTCCTCGGCCCTACCAGCTCTTGCTCTCCAGCCCCACCCTCGGGTACCCTCCCTTCCTGTGCCCTGGCTTCTCAGGGCCGTCTGCTCTCCGAGGCAGCAGGAAGTCAGAGAAAGAGCTCCGGACTGAGCATCTGGGTCCAGGCCCAGCTCCCCCACAGCTTTACTGCATGGCCTCGGGCAGGCTCCTTGTCCTCTGCAGGCCTCCTTCTCCTTCTGTCAAAGGAGATGTCTGGACTGGGTGCTCTCTAAGGCTCTCCCAGCTCCCACAGTCTGGGCTCTGGCCTTTCTCGCCTCCCTGGGGACCAGGGCCTTGCTCAGTGAGGCGCAGGATAAACAGATGTGCACTGAGGACATTAGCCCAGAAGCTCAGTCCCCTCCCAGGGCCCTTCAGGAGATAATGACTTCCCCAAAGGAGTTAGCCTAGAAGGCCAACCCCCATGGCTGAGGGGTCCTCTGCTTGCACTCAGGACCCCCATCGCACCCAGCTCAGGGTTAGGCTGCTCCTTTCTCAGCGTCTCTCCCCTTCCCAGCCCGACCGAGGAGCTGCACCGCAAGCTGTCCTCAGATGAGATGTACCTCGTGGATTCTGGGGGGCAATACTGGTATGTACTCCCCACCCCCACTTGGCCCAGCTCTCTCAGCTCAGACATCCTGGGCTGGCCAAGAGCCGGCTGAAGCTTTCCCTTCCTGGGAGCGGATTCTTCATCCGAGGAAGGAGAGGCCTGGACTGAATGAGCCTGAGCATCCCTCCCATTTTCACACTTGGGGGTTTCTGCACAGTGGGAATCACACAGAGGCCAAAACAGTGGGGCTGCCCATGTCGCACCTCTGTGAGACTCAGGAAAGACTCCCTCTGCTCCAGTAAAATGTCGTTTAAGCCCACATATTATTAAACATTCTGGACAGCCATGCTTAGTGGCCCTGCCTGGCTGCACAAACACTGCACCCATATTCTCACCCATTCCTGCACACCCCGGACACGGCCCACACACCACCGGCACCATGTGTCCTCCTCAGCGACCTCTCCCCCAACCGCATGGGTGAGCTGACCATGCCAGGTCAAGGGTAGGGGCAGGATCAGAGCAGCAGGCAGGTGACAGAAGCAAGCACAGGGGGGTCCTAGAGCACAGTTGGGCCAGGACACATCCATCAGCATGGGTATGTGTCTGTGAGGACATATGTGTGCATGCTCTTCTGAGTGTGGACAAGACCACATATAGGGTTATATAGGATACACACTATATAGGGTTATATAGGATATACCACATATAGGTTATATATAGTTATATATGCTCCCCTGCTCCAGGACTCCACAATCTGTGTGTCCATCTTGTGCTTTCATTGAAATTAGTATATAATCATGAAGTGAATGGCATCCCTTTAAGTGTGTTACCCTTGTACAGTGCACAACCTGAACACCCAGACATGACAGCCATGCAGAACAGGCTAACCCCATTTCCTTCCAAATATGTGACCAATCATTCACACAGGAGCTGAGATGGGTGGAGCTGGAAGATTTTTCCTTCTCATCTAGGAAGCAAGTGAACTGTTGGAAGCTTAGAGTGGGCGAAAAGAAGGGGTACACTGAAGTGATGGAGGAGCAAGGAGTATTTCAAAGTTTCCCATCCTCTATCCTGTGGAAATGGTGAATGTGCTAATGACAAAGGCTCCTGGCTTGTTCCTAGCCCAGCTCTGGGAGCCAGCCTGGCAGGCGCTCAGCCTGGCAGCCTTGGCTAGTCACCAGCGCGGCGCTGTGTGTACTTGAGATGGCCAATTGCAAAGGGGAAGTGAATTTTTGGGGTGTTGCTGGATTGGGGTGTGCTCAGAGCAGGGTGAGGCCGGGGAATTGGTCACCTCACTTCCTCTTCTCTCCTTCTGAAGAAGTAGGCCACGCCCTGTAACCTGCTCCTAAGGAGTCCCCAGGGCCCTGAGACCACTTCTCCCCTCCCCCTCTCCCAGGGGTGGCCACAGGTGCCATCGTGGGGGAACAGCTGCAGCTGGTGGTTGGGAGTCAGACTTTTTGGCTTATGGCTTTGGTTCCCTGTGACTCGGAGCAAATCCCTGGTTTGCAATGGAGAGAACTGTGCAGAGAGTCAGAACCTGCGCCAAGCCTGGCTTCACTGAGGCCCGGAGACGGAGATGGCCTCATGGCCTCATGGCCTCATGGCCTCACCTGTGAAATGGGATAATGGGGCCTGCTCTCCCATCCTTCCCCGGCAGCTGCAAAAGTCTTCTATAAATGGTAGATATATGAACGTGTGAGAGTGTAATGATCTCTCTGGACCGCCGTTTCTCCGTCTGTAAAAAGGGGACGATCCCCCCCTGCCTCCCGAGAAGCCTGGAAGAAGCCTTGCTTTTAGAGCCAGCCTGACCCAAGGAAACCCAGATTTACAAAATGGCCACCATGGGTGGTATGGGGGTGGAATATGTATGTGGAGAATCGGGATGCTCAGACCACGTAGTGACTTTGAACTTGACAGCTTGGCAGAGCCCCTTCGTGCACAGATGCTGAAGATGGGAATTAGATGATGGCAGCTATCTTCTTCCTTTCACCTCACACCCCACCTCATCCCAGCCCCGCCACTCAGACCCCAGTGGAAACCACACAAGACGCACATAGCCACGATCCCTACCCTGAAGTGTTCAGCAGAGCTGGGCATGTTGATTTTCCTTCTCTGCAGGGATGGAACGACAGACATTACCAGAACAGTCCACTGGGGCACCCCCTCTGCTTTCCAAAAGGTAAGCATCGGACCCAGATTTCCCTAACCACCCTTACCCAAGGGACACCCAAGCCATCACTCCACCAAGAGCCCTTTCATTTTACAGAGGATAAAACTGAGGCCCAGAGAGGTTAAGTAGTTTGCCCAACGTCACACAGCAAGTTAGCACCAGAAAATACAGTGCCCCCAGCTACATCCCCAGAGATATTTCAGGCCACCAACAGCGCCTCAGCCCACGCTTATCATCATCCCCTTTCAGTAAATCAGTGAGCAAATATTTATTCTGTGCTACCTGTGTGCCTAGCCTTGTGCTCTGCAGAAAGGAGGAAGAAAGGCTTCCAGGTGGGGAGAAAGGGCACACGCACTGTCTCAGAGGTGGAAAGGAGCTGGAGGTTTTCAGGAATCAGCGAGGGCTGATCCACCTCAGGGAGAGGCTAGGACATGGGCTGTGGGCACCAAGGTGGGGTTGGGGAGCAGGGGGCCGCGTTCATGCATTCAGCAAGCAGACTGTGGCTCCAATATTGTGCTAGAAAGAGAGAGAGAGAAAAAACAAACACTGCTCAGGCCTCAAGGAGCTCACCGCTTAGCGTGTTGAGTCCACTGTCCCAGGTTGTTGTGCACAAGATGACAAGCCTTTGCGTGTGCGTGTGTGTGTGTGTGGTGAAGGAGACTCACCACATCACCACAGGGAGTGACCAGAAGAGGCCACTGTCAGCCCACCTCCCTCCCTCTTTCCACAAGGTAACAGCCCCAGCAGAGCAAGGCCGACCTGCCGGATTATCAGGCCTCAACCCAAACCGAAGGCCTTAAGAAAACTAGAGTCTGGTCGTGATAATGGCAATAAGGGCACCAGCCTCTACTTGAGCGTTCTCTCTGTTTGGAGCACTTTATGTGCATGACTCTACCTACTCCTCCCAACAACCTTATGATCTGGCACTGTGATCGTCCCATTACAGATGAGGAAACTGAGGCACAGAACAGTTAAAGTCGCTTGCCTAGGGTCTCAGTTTGTGAATGGCCGAGTCAGGATTCCAGCCCAGGGAGTTTGCCTCCCTACTGTCACGGCCTCAGCTCACCACCACCTCCAAGCGGCCCTGTGGGCCAGCCAAAGAGAACCACACAGACCGAGCCCCAGCTTTGAGCAGGTCCCCCTCGGCCTCCTCTGGCCATCTTCCAGAACCTGGGTGACCACACTTGAGTATGCACCTCCCCCACAACACACCCCCCGACAGGCCTGGGCCCACACACCCCCATGAGCACAGGCTGAGCAGCTGGAAACTCCCCAGGCCCCGTGTCTTGGGAGCCACATTGCCTCTCCCTCTCCCACCAGGAGGCGTATACCCGCGTGTTGATAGGCAATATCGATCTGTCCAGACTCGTCTTTCCTGCTGCTACATCAGGTGGGTGTCGGAGACCAACCTGGACCCAGAGCCTCAGGCCCTGATTTCACTGGGCCCAGACCACCACCCGGGGAGGCTAGTGGGGCCGGGATTATATCATCATCCCACCCTTTGTATAGATAAAAAAAAATCCCACCCAGAGAGAGAAAGCGACTTGTCCAAGGTGCCACAGAGGGTTAGGGAGAGAGCCAGGCCTTGAACCCTGGCCTCCTGCCTCCTAGTCTCATGCTGGAGCTCAGAAGCGGGGGAGGTCGCATGGGCTGCAGCAGGCGGGAGGACTCCCGGTGGACGGGGAGGAACTGTAGTAGTGTGATCAGTCTAGGTGATGGGTACAAAGCAGAGTGCTGGAGGGCGTGCATGCTAACCTGCCCCTCAGCAGCCACTCTTCGCAGGTGCCATCCTGCTAGTTGGCTCCAGGACAAGAGAGCAGCATGGGGCGAGGTGGACGGCAGTCGGGGGTCCAGCTGACTGACTGGAGGCCATCTCTCTTCCAGGGCGAATGGTGGAAGCCTTTGCCCGCAAAGCCTTGTGGGATGTTGGGCTCAATTATTATCACGGGACAGGCCATGGCATTGGCAACTTCCTCTGTGTGCATGAGTGTAGGTGTCTCCCCAACACTCCCCTGGAGTCCCCCCTCTTAGGAAGGAGGTAGAGCATTTCGCAGGTATGGAACTGACTGAGACCCACAGAGGGTCAGTGACCCACCCAAGGTTCCCCAGCCAGTATGAGGTGATGCTTCACAGGGTAAGTGAGAAATGCTGGCAGCTGCCAACTCCTGCTGCCTGCTTGGCATCGGGGAGGGCCCCAGAGAGAGGAGTGGTGGGTCAAGGCCTAGGGGCTGACTGGCATAGACCCCAGAGAAATCAAAGCCAGAGCCCATCTGGTCTGTACCAGCCCCAGGAAGAGAATGATGCCCAGGGATCCCCAGTTACCTGCTAACCTCCAGAGCCTGCTAGTTTCCAAGCTGGTGAGTACAGGAGAGCTGACATGCCTATGTCTCCCTTTCCAGGGCCAGTGGGATTCCAGTCCAGCAACATTGCCATGGCCAAGGGCATGTTCACTTCCATCGGTATGGCTCTTGGGCTCCTCCACCCCTCCCCACCCCAAGAATAGCCTAGGACTGCAGTCTAGGGAGCACCAGCCTTCAGGGAGCAGGCCAGGCACAGGCACTCCCTCACCTCCCCACTCCCAGCCCCAAACAGCTTGTCCCCCCCAACCCCAAGCCCCTTCAGCTCATACCCTCATTTTGCCCTTGGGAGTTGGTTCCCAGCTGTACCTCCAAACTGCAGAGTCTCCAATCAAATGCTGGGGCAACGGGACAGTGGCACACAGGGAGATGGGAATGCCCCCGGGACCTGAAGGGGCTCTTAAGTCATCCCTGCTGGGCCACAGGGGAGGGTGGGGATCTGAGGCCCGGTAGGGTGCCTCTGCATAGCCAATAAGCATCTAACAAGTGGCAGGTCTGCCTGAGCCAACGGGGGACAGGGGTGGGGGAGTGGGAAGGGGGGGTCGGGGGTGGGGCAGTGGGGAGGCAACCAGGCAGCCAGACCCTCCAGCCATTCCTCAACTGGTACATGAAGGCCAGGCTTGGGTCCTCCCCCTGCTTAATGCCACCAGTATCTCTCTGTCTCCCAGAGCCTGGTTACTATCAGGATGGAGAATTTGGGATCCGTATTGAAGATATAGCCCTTGTGGTAGAAGCAGAGACCAAGGTAAAGCGCCACTGGGACAGGCTGGAGGTGTGCACAGCATGGCAGTGAGTTTGGGCTGTGTGGGAGGTAAGGAAGGTCAAAGCAGAAGGGCATTTAATGTGTGGGCGTGAATTTATTTGGAGTCCTCCTTAACTCCAGAAAAATACCATAAATCAGAGTTTCTCAAACCTGTTTGCACATTACAATATTAGAATCATCTGGAGAGCTTTGTTTTTAAATGCCAATGCCCACGTCCCACTCCAGAGCAAATGAATCAGCGTCCTTCCCCGAAATCAGTGGTTCCCGATGCACAGAATAATCACCAGGGGAGCTTGTTAGATATCAAGATTCCGTATAATAGCAACCAACAAGATAAAATACCTAGATATAAACTTAAAAAGACTTACATGGAGAAAATGTCTACTGAGAGACATAAAAATGATTTAAGTAAATAGTGATCTCTGGAAAGAAGCTTCAATATTATGAAGATGTCATTTCTCCCCAAATTAATCTATAAATTCAAGACAACCTCAATTTCAATGCTAACTGGATACTTTTGTAACTTCACAAAAGGACAGTAAAGTTTATTTGTAAAAATAAACATGCAAAGATAGCGAAGTAGCTAGGAAAATTCTGAAAAAGAAGAGCAAGAAGGGCAACTAGCCCTTTCAGATGTTAGCACATACTCGGAAGCTTCCAGAATGAAAACGGTCTGACGCCAGAGATACGAAAGACAGAATAGTTAGCCCAGAAATAGACCCTCTAAGTTCCATAAAGGAAATGGGAATTTAGTTGACAATAAAGCTGGTGTTTCAAAACAATCAAGAAGAGAGAGATTGTTTAATATATGAGCAGGGGGCACAAATGGCTGATCCTTTAGGGGACATTAAATTGAAGAACCTCACTGTTACACCCAAATCAGATTCCAAATGGATCAAGATTCAAAGGTGAAACCATAAAGATCTAGAAGAAAATCTATATGAGTTCATTTATAATCCCAGGATCGAAAAGGGCCTTTCTATGCAAGACCCAGAAACCGTGAAGAAAAAGATTGGTGACTCTGACTAAATTAAATAAAAAATGTCTATATGGAAACAACACCATAAACAAAGTCAAAAGATGTAGACAAATATAGCACATATGTTAGAGAAAGGGTGAATTTCCTTTTATTACCACGAGCTTTTACAAATCAATAAGACAAAACTAGGGAAAACAGAGAAAACAGGCAAAGGATATGAAGAGGCAATTCACTAAGATCAACACAAATGGTCCATAAAGGTGAAAAGATGCTCGGGTTTATTCTTTTTTTTTTTTAATTAGTGCAGCTATTTATTTATTTTTTTTTCCATTGGTTTATAACATTGTAAAAATTTCAGGTGTACATCATTGTACTTCTATTTCTGCATAGATTACATCATGTTCACCACCAAAATACTAATTACAACCCATCACCACACACATGTGCCGAATTATCCCTTTCACCCTCCTCCCTCCCCCCTTCCCCTCTGGTAACCAACCACCAATCCAATCTCTGTCCCTATGTGTTTGTTTACTGTTGTTATTATCTACTACTTAATGAAGGAAATCATACGGTATTTGACCTTCTCCCTCTGACTTATTTCACTTTGCATTATACCCTCAATGTCCATCCATGTTGTCACAAATGGCTAGATTTCATCGTTTCTTATGGCTGAGTAGTATTCGGGTTTATTCTTAAAGAAATACAAATCAAAACAACAATAGAACCCCATGGTTCACCTATCTGATTGGTAAAAATGAGAGACTTTGATGATCCCCAGTGCCGGTGAGTCTGTGGGGAAACGGGCACTCTACTGCTATTAAAAATGCCTGTGCTTTTCATCTCAGCATTCCCTCTGCCAGATATGTACCTTCCGGATATAGTCCCCAAAGTTCACCAAGATAAGTTTATGCGATGATGTTGATTGTAGTATTGATGGTAATCGTTTAAAGAGTGGAAACAGCTCAAATATCCATCACTGGTTAAATAAATCATCATCCACATACCGTGGACCTTTATGCAGCCCTTAAAAAGAATGAGCTGGATCTCCCACTGCTGATATTGGGCGCTGCCCTAGGCTTACTGCTAGGGGGGAGAAGGTACAGAAAAGTGTATTGTAGGATCCATTTTGCATGAATTTCTAAAATATATACATATATACACTGTATATGCCTAAAAGGTTTTCAAGAAGAAAACCGGGCAGGGAGAAGACTTTCAATTTTTATTGCGTATCTTTTTGTAGTTTGAATTTTCTAAGCATGTACATGTAAGAGCTCTCTGGGAGATGGGAATTATGGGCTGTTTTTTCTTCTTTATACTCATTTCTATAGATGGATCAATTGATAGACACATAGACAGAGATGTAGATAGACAGAGATAGAGATAGAGTAGATAGATATAAAAACCTAACACTTTTCTTAAAATTGTTTAAATGTAGGCTCCTAGCCCTGCCCTAGAAAGTCTCACTCCAGTGGTCTGGGGGTTGGGCCCTGGAATCTACATATTTGACAAGCTAGGTGCAATGGATGCACACACTTTGGGAAACACACACCTAAGTCTAAATTTGGAATCAGGAGGGAAGCAGCAAAGGCAGGTATAAGTGGTAGACAGGTAGACAGTCTCCCAGTGGCCAGGGGCACAGTGGGAGACTCAGGCCTCCCCTGAGTCTTGGGCTTGACAAAAGTCAGTTCCTTGTGCCCTCGGCGCCTGGGTGGAGTGTTGTTGCCCTCCCTCCAGCCTGGCTCCTCCTCCTGGCTCACTTCCTGCTTTCCCACCTCCCCTGTGGCCTCTCAGTACCCAGGGACCTACCTGACCTTTGAAGTGGTGTCCTTTGTGCCCTATGACCGGAACCTCATCGATGTCAGCCTGCTATCCCCTGAGCAGGTAAGTGCCCCTCAGCGCTGTCCACCTGCTGCCCGTGAACCACTGACTGCCTTCTCCCCCACCCTGGGCCTCTCTCACCTCTGCTCCCCCTATCCCAAGACCCTCTGCCCCTTCCCCTCCCCTGGGGGGGGGTCCACACTAGTGGCACCTGTAGGCACACACTGGGGCATCCCTCCCCCCTTCGCCAGAAACCCCAGAGCTTCTAGAACTCTCCACTCAAAGCAGCCTGCCCAACCCCAGGTAGTGAACTCCTGGGAAGTCTGAGACTGGGTCTCTGGACTCTGCTACCTCAAGTCCTAGAATTATAAGCAATCCCTTCCTCTCTCTGGGCCTCAGTCCCCTCTTCTGTTAAATGGGGTTGATAATGCCTGCCCTACTTACTCTCATTCCTGGGCTGGAAATCCATTCCCACCCCCACCCACCCAGTGAAAGTCACTATGACACTCAACTGCCACCATGGTGAACTGCCTCTGAAAAGCCCCAGAGAATGCCTGTGGCCTGGCGATGGCTGGGGACCTCTGGGGTACCTGTGGGGACCTGGGCCAAGGTGGGCAGCCCGAGGACCACAGCAGAGGACTGGATGGCACCAAGACCTCACCTCTCCTACCCTTTGCAGCTCCAGTACGTGAACCGCTACTACCAGACCATCCGCGAGAAGGTGGGACCCGAGCTGCAGCGGCGCCAGCTGCTGGAGGAGTTTGCATGGCTACAACAGCACACAGAGCCCCTATCTGCAAGGGCCCCGCACAGCGCTTCCTCGGTCTCTCTGTCGGCAGTCTCCGCTCTTGCCATCCTCAGCTGGAGTGTCTAGAGGCTCGGGGATCCCCTGCTGACCCTCTTGCTCAGCTCCCCTCACCCTGCACCACCCATGCCCCAAGAGCCCCAAGAGCCCACTGCCTGGAAACTATTGCCCTCAGCCTCCTTCTCCAGGACCAAGCCCTGGGGATGCAGGGCTCCTTGGCCCCAGGCAGGCCCCCCTCTGGGCTGGTACACCTCACCCCAGCCCCAGGATAGGAAAGCCAGCTAGTCCCTTCTCCCCCCCCCCCCCCGTGAGCCCAAAAGGCCTAACCTATAACCTGGTAGAGCCTGCTGCCACTACTCTCCCCCCAAAAAAGGCCAATATGGCAGTGCCCTACCCCAGGGCCACCATGGCCCTGGGAGCCCTCCCTGTCACCACCTGCTGGATATAACCAGAGCTGTTCCCACCCATGCCTGTTCCTGAATTCTTGGTCTTTGCATGCCCTTGAGGCTGCCTCTGGCCTACTTATCCTCAGCCCCGCAATGGCCTCCACAATGGCTGCAGCCCACGGACTGAAGGAACAAGGAGCTCCCTGCTGTGCCTGTAGAGGGAGAGGAAGGGAGGGTGGCTGAGTCCTCTGGTTGCATACTGCTACCCCAGGGTCAGGGAGACCCATCAGAGAAGGGGCACATAGAGCAGCCCCCTCCATGTGTGAGCCCATCACTCCTAAACCAGAGGGGGCTCCATGCCAACTGACAGGATACGGAGTTACACCATGGGAATTTGGCCGTGGGGTAGGAGGGAATGCGGGGTGCCCTCTGGAATAGGACCCTACCCGAGGGTGGGAACAGCCTGAGCAGTGGGGCCCAGTCACTATCCCAGACTTCCCAGCATGCAGGTAGCCCTTTTAACTTTCCGAAGTGCAGCCACAGTATCCTCTGGTATCCTTGGATGGCCTTTAACTTGGGTGGGCACAGTCTGGTTTCCCCATTTTATAGACAGGAAAACCGAGCTCCGGCCAGGAGTAGGACCTGCCCAAGGACCAATAGTGTTTGGGTGGGAGATGCTGGGGCCAGAATGGGCCAGCAGTCCAGCTCTTTTGTCCTTCAGCACCACACAGAATCCCTTAGCCTGCCTCCCAGCCCCCTCCTCATTCAGTGAGCTCACTGAGGGGTGGGGGCGGTGAGAAGAGTTTTCTCTGGCCAGCCCAGCCGTTAGCCACCTGGGCTCACATCCTGCTAGATGCTTAAAACAGCCTGGCAACGAAGCCTCCCTCTGGGTTTTGCATTGTGTCTGCTGTGTTGCCGGGGACTGCTGTACCTGTGGCTTTTGTGGTGGGGGAGGAAGGGGAGGGGATGTGGTGGGGGCGGGGATGTGAGGCTCCCAGAAGCTCTGTTGGGGCGCACATGTGCTTGAGAATGTGCATGTGAGCATGCGTGAGTGTATGTGTGTGAGCGCTCATTTATTCGCATGCATGCCACGCCCAGCCAGCCACCTCCTGTGCTAAAGGTGGTGTCGCCTTGTGGAGGGGACAGAGGGGAGTCCCACGCTGGGGGACTTGTCGAATGTGGTCCAGGAAAGTTGGGGCCAGCACCTTTGCTCAGCGGAGCACAGTCGGGGGAGGAGAGAACCAAGTTTCTGGGGCAGAGTGCTGGGCAAAGGCAAGGCAGAGGAGTCCCCCTCCTGGGACCACCAGGCCTCGTTTGCGGAGTGTGAGGGTGACGTGTGACAGTTACCACCACCGATGCTTGCGTCCAAAGGCCCCAGCTCTGACCCACCCTCACTGAGAACCTGTAGCACCCAGGAGTCAACCTCTGTGTGCTGAGTCATTTGCTCTCTCACATGCTCGCCCCACAGACAGCTACTACTAATAAAATGAGTCGTCGTCATCATCGTCGTAGATACATCCACTGAGTGTTTAGTATGGACCAGGCACTGTGCTGTGCATGCATTCACTTTTAATTTTGTTTTATTGTGCTAAGAACATTAAACATGAGATCTATGCTCTTAATCAATTTTTAAGTGTACAAGACATTACTTCATTTGCCCACTTAGTCCGCACCACCTATGAAAGGTGCTTTTATTATTCCCATTTTACAAGTGAGGGAACTGAGTGAGGTGCATAGAGATTAAACAACTTGCTCAAGGTCACTTATCAAGGAAATGAAAAAAGCAGGATTCAAACAAGTCATATGACTCCAGAACACACTCTCTCCGAAAAGGGCAAGTGGTATGGCTCTCACCATTTTACAGATGAGAAAACCAAGGCTCAACCAGAATCATATGGCTGGTGAGATGCAGAGTTTGCACTCAGACCCAACAGGTGTTCTCCAGACTATCCTGCTTCCCCAGGGCCTGCGGGCTGAGGCCTTTACTTTGGAGCCCTGACGCTTGCTCCTGGGGTTCCTGCAGGCCATGGGCAGCAGGAAGACGTGGGGTGCCTGACCAAGACCCACTCGCAGCCCTTTCAGCCCAGGGAAGCTCACACACTCCCCTTTCCTCCCTTCAGTGCAAGACCCAGGGCTCCACCTCGTCTCCTCCTCATAACTTAACCCCCTCTTCCAATCCACCATCTTGGGATTGAGAACCCCAGCCCAGAAGCATGGCTGCAGAGAGGCCCACTGCCACCCCAGCTCCTCCCTTCCTGGGCCCCAGAGGGCACGCACGCTGAGCGTCCTGCTTTAAGGGCTTCACTCTGGATCAGGCAGGGAAACATTCAGGGCACACAGGGCAAGGCTAACAGATGCAGGGGCACTTGAGACATCATTAGGAATTGAAGAGAAATAAATGCCTCCTTGGGTTCTGGTCCTTTGTTTTCATGCTGGAGGATAGGGCTTACGAAGCTCCTCCCCCATGCTGATTGCTACTGTGGAGCGGGCCATGTGGAAAAGCCCCTTCTCCTAGGAGTTAGGAGTCTAGGGTTCTAGTCCCAGCTGTGCCAGAAGTGTGGCCTTGGGCAAGTCACTTCACCTCTCTGGTCTTCAATTATCCCTTCTGTATACTACCGCCTTCTTCATGAGGTTAGAGTGAGGGGCCCATAAGAACCGGATGTGCCAGCACTCTGTCAGCCAGGAAGCCACACAGATGAGAGATGATGATGCCATTACTCGCCCAGCATGAGTTTCTTGCCTCACCTTTGGAGGTAGGTAAGGAAAAGGTTTGGGACTCAAATTTTATATATAAAGCATCAATACTAGACAGACTTTTGAGCAAGTATCTCATTTGTGTTTTTCCAGCTATGCTCCCTGGAGCCTGAGGTTCCTCAGAAATGCCACAAGGGCTGCCGCAGAAAGCAGAGCTCCACCCAAAAGCAGCCCGTATGGGCTTCCCATAAAATTGTATTGAAAGCAGTGGCGAGGCCAACTTCTAGGGGATCAACCTGTGCAGTCAGTCACGCAGGGCCTTGTGCTTAGAAGAGCCCCATGCTTGGTTTAACGCTCCACTGTCGCCATCTGGAAACTTTTAATAATTTTTGAACAAGCGGCCCTGCATTTTCATTTTGTACCAGGCCCTGAAAATCCCATAGCCGTCCCTGACTAGGAACCCCATGACCAAACAAACAAACAAAAAGCCACTTCAACCCCTTCAGTATACAGATGGGAACACTGCAAAAGCAGCCCAGAAAAGGGAAGGGACTTGCCCAAGGTCACACAGCAGTTGGGGTCAGAGGTAGGATTAAATCCCCAGCATCTTGACTCAGCTCTGGGCTGGCCCCTCTCTCGCTTTCAGTGTGCACTTCTGTCGCTCCCTTACTGCCTCTAATGAGCAAACTGAGGCCCAAGGAGCCCTGTTTGAGGTCACACAGCTGTGACAACAGTGGTGATGATGGGACTGAGCTACATTTCTTGATGCTTTAAATCTTTTTTGGAATAGGAAAGAGCGTGGGTAAGATGATACATACATCCATACATGCATACACAAAGTTGAAAACTATAAGTCATTCCTCGCTCATTGGCCAGCCAGCTGGCTCCAGCTCTTCATGGGCCGGGACCATGGAAGGGGTGGGGCTGGCTACTCTTCACCCAGCTAGCCCACGTCAGCAGTGAATTTTACCAACTCACTGGGCACTTCCTCAAATCAGTGGTTGGGTACTCTTGGCGTCAGAAAAAAAATAATAGAAATATGAAAGATTCAATAGCAACCGTTTCCTCCCTGTCCATCCCTGCCCTCCAAGGCCCTCTCGGCTGGGAGTGGGAGGCGCTCCCCAACCCCGCTCCACCAGCCCTGGCCCTGAGGCTGACCCATCTCCTCACTTCCTTGTTTCTTTCTGAAACAGGAACTGAGCAAGCAGCTCAAGTGGGGTAGGATGGGTGGTTGAGAAAGCCCCAGTGGTCCATGGCAAGGCCATGAAGCTGAAAAGCTCATTTCCCTGCCAGCGGTCCCAAGTAGTTCTAGGCCCTCTTGCTTGTCACACCTTCTGTGTTCTACAATAGCTTGGGCTGAGGGACCCTGCCCTTGACAAGGTGGAGACACACAGGATATGGGCCACAGGGCCTTGTAGCAGAGATTCAGATGGGGCCCAGATGAGATGTAGAAGCGGGTGCCGAGGCAAGAGGAGAAACTCCGTGTGGAGCCTGGAGTGAACTGATGCACAGTTACCCACCAGGTACCAAACTCTCCATGAGCTGGGTGCTGGGCTGAGAGCACTCTCTGTATGTCTCATCTGTTAACTGGTTACTCTCACACATACACACGCACACGCACATACCCATGCACACCCCACCACTCTTCCCTGCGAGCACGGTCCGCATTATCACTGTTACCGTCTTCACTGGAGCTCAGTGCCCAAGCTCACTTGCCCGAGGCCATGCGGCCAGCAGGTGACGTATGGCGATTTGAATCCAGTTCTACCTGACTCCATTTCTGGGAGGTGTTCTCCTGCTCCCTTCTTCCCAAAACCCTAGACAATTGTCCCCTAGACTGCTCAGCAGCCTCTGTCTTTGTAACCTTGGGACAGAGTCCTAGGCAGAGCAGCCCAGGCCCTCCCAGTCGCCCACAGAAAGGCCCTGCAGTGAGTGTGAGTGTGTTTTTATCTGAGCACCAAAGCCCAGCCTCCTCTCCTGATGGTAATTGTCAGAGCTACCTGCAGGTGTTTTTTGTTTTTAAACCAAGACCTTATCACGAGTTCAGAGATTCAGAGATGACTGTCTTTCTCTCCCATCAGCCCCTGTTGCCAGCGGCTCCCCAGCGTTCCCAGAGCTGTAGGCTCCATGTGTATG